AAAAAAAAAAAAAAAAAAAGAAAAAGAAAAACAGAGTTCCTCTGCTTAAAGCAGGGTCTGGCTACCCTTACAGCATCTCTGCAGAATCCTCTGCTCCTTGCAACTACTAATTTTGTTCCACAAAATTGGCCAGCTATGAAACTCAAGACCAGGAGGAAGTAGCTCCCTTTCAAGTCACACAGCAAATTAGAAGCTGAGCAGGGATTACAATTTGGATCTTCTGCTGAATGGTATAGTGGCTTATTGCATGTCATCCCCACACCCCCTTTAATGAGTCAGATGAAATAGAAAACTCCAGTCTCCAACTCATTAAAATACGTAAGAAAGAAACAGTGAAGGGGATGAGCAATTTTCTACACATAATTATAATAGGAAGACTTGCCATGCAAACATATGATAATGGACACATCTGTTATAAAGAATCCTGCATGGAAAGGGAAATTTAGATATGCTGAGTACATTCAGTTTTCTAATCAAAAATTAAAACAGGTTGAAAGATAAAGACAAAAGAGGAATGACAATCTCCAATCTATAATTCTTCTTATTCCTTCCTGGAACAAAACAAACAGTAAGTCCAGGGAAATGAAGTTAAAATTTTAATTCTTCACTTGCGTAGGCCCTAGGCCTTTGAAGTCCCCAGGAGAGGCCCCAGTAATGCATGACAATAGTTATACAATTTTATACAAATTTTAAAAGATGTTTTAATTGCAACTAGCTAAACCCTATCTTTTTGTACTCTGACTTCCTCTTATGTTAGCTTTGGAGGATTTACATGCATTTTTGACATCTAAGAAGAAACTGACTTAGTGATTCACATACTTTGAATGCAGAATATGTTTGTATGGTTTGCAGCACTTTCATGTAGAGGTACATTATTGCTAGCTCTCCTGGTGTAGGAATGTCTTCTAGGAATACTCCTTCCACCCATAGCTCTAATTCACCAAGCATGGTGACATGAAGGAACAAGACAAAATGACATGATGCAATGTAAACATGACCTATAATGGCCAGCACCAGAAATACATGGGTAGTAGAAAAGACAGAAGCTAGTAAAAAGTTCATTTCATAATCATCAGATACGCAAAATTTCACAATGTCGAATTCAACTGTCATTGATACCTAATCAAAAACAAATGTTCTACTGTCAAAAATATATTGAATTGGGCATATATAATTATAAATGTTCCCTATGTGTTTTATTTTGTATGGGAATCATGGAAAATATAATTAGCCAGAATACTTGGGTTTGTAAGTTATGTATACCATGAAAGTCTCTATGTAAAGTTGTATACGTTCTGTATTACAGCCATCAATATCTAAAAAGTTCTGTCAAAACTGCCATAAAAATAATTATATTTCTGTTGTCTATACAGAAAGTGATAGTGGCATATAGCTGTCACATAAAGAAACAATTTAAAGCTATAAACCAAAAAGTACAGACAAAGTATGTGAGACAGTTAATTATTAGCAATATTGTACTTCCAGATTTTGTGATGTCATCTTTTAAAAATTAATAATTCAATTTCCTGTCTCATTCTAAGTA